CCTTGTTAAAGAGCTATAAAGTGGTCATAGGGCTGGTGTAGCACAGGAGTGTGTTAACTCTGCTGCTTTAGGCCCCTTATCGATGTCTCTGCCTGCCTTTGTGTGTGTGCCACAGTCAGGATGCCCCGTCTGCTTTGCGCTTCCCTCACTCCCATTTGATGCATTTCAGTGTGAAGTTTATATAGGCTGGACTCAGCTCAGAAACCAGGCAGCTGTTAACCAGCTTCCTTCTGAGTCCTCTCCCTCTCCAGTATGCCCGATCCATTTCTTACACGGGTGTTGCCCACGGTTATTATGAGGCATTCTCCTGATCTTCCTTATAGCCCAGCTCCTGGATCACTTGGGGACCTTATCTCTTTCTCTCTTCCCTCTTGTTTTTTTTTCGCTCTTTTAGTTTTGAAGACAGAGATGAAAAAATTTAGTATAATTTAAAATTATAAACAGATGAAAAAGGGAGAATATATAAATGAATTTTAAAAGTAAAATTGGGTGAATTTGGCTCATGACTGTATAATCAATAATAATCACCTCTAAGAGGACATTTTGAGCTTGACTGCTAGGAAATAATTTCCTGGTGCCAGTTGTAATAAACAAAGGACCATTTTGGTTATTTTAATAAAACATCCCAACAGAGTGCATGAAGTGGGCATTTTGAAGAAGACCTGCAGGTCACAGAGGTGGCAAGGAGGGTGGAATGTTCAAAAATAGGCAAAGGGCATACCTGTAACTATAGGGGAAAAATGCTGTTTTGTGGAGGAGGTGATGCAATGTCACTTGTAGCAGAAGCTTGAGGCAGATATCTGCAGAGGGGGAAAGGTGATTCGGGCAATGGGAGAAGGCTTCAGTCACAAAGATATTTTAGATCTGAATTTAACTGACATCAAGGAATTATTTGAGGTGTGCCCAGTTTTGCAATGTAACTCTAGGCGTTTTGGGATGTGCAAAAGTGACACCAAGACATCCGGTCCCACTCAGCTGGAGGCAGGTTTGCAAGTGTGGGGGTTGGTCATTGTTGTTGAATGGGTTGGAGAAGCCAGGGCAAGGTAAACCTGCCCGCAGTGCACGGACGCCCCACTCAGGCTGCGCGTTTTGATGCTATGGCACATGGTGGGCTTGTTTGATTTTCATTTCAGCACTGGAGCCAACCACACATCAAAACTAGGAGAATTAGAATGAAGGACGGTATTAAAATTGTGGACTGATTGAATCAGCACTTTTTTTTAAAGGAACGCATTGCTACCCAGAAGCAGCATGTATTTAGGCATTGCTTAGTAATGGGCCAGCATGAGAGCTGCCAGCTCTGCTGACACAGAAGAGAGCTGCCTACACCCTTGGGCTGAGGTGTGTTTGGCTCATAATTCTGCATAAACATCTCCAAATAAAGAAAAAAGCCAGCGCTATTGAGAAAGCAAAGGCTGGCTCTATTTATATCTGCAGTAAGGCTGTGATAATGAAAAGATGCTTTAATGTGTCCCAAGGCCTAGATGAAACACCGAAAAAGGTTTCTTTTAAGAAGAAAATTATAATAATATCCCCTTGAAATCCTGAGGAAATGCATGTGACGGACTTCTTGAGAGCAATGTCAAAGAAATGAAATAGGAGTTACAGAGCATAGGGAGTTACTGCAGTTATGGGCTTTGAATTGGTTTAAATCTTTGCTTTTAAGCTTTTTTCTAAGTATCTCTTTAAAAGTAACACTTTAATGAGAGGGAAAATGTTTTACTGCCACTGAATTCTAGCAGCAGTGCAGACCTGTCAGACCTTACCTTTTTTTGGAGCGTAAATCCTTTCTCTATGGTTTCTTCTGCTGTCCCCTCTCGCGGGTGTCACACTCCTTTGGGGCACCAGGCACTGGCAGGGCTGCGGTGGGCGGTGTGAACGGCTGCAGAGGAGGAAGATGTTCTGCAGAAAATGTTCTTTCAGCCCAAGATTTGCAGCTTTATGGTTAAAAAGGAAAGAAATGTTCCTTTTCTGGAAGTCTTTTAGGGGCTTCTGGTTTTGGTTTTACTTAAGGCAACTGAAAAATTGAAAAAGGAAAATATTTACTTGAAATACCATCTTTCCTTTTATCTTGTTGCGTCTTTGGCCAGTTTTAGTCTAACTCGTCATTTCATGTTGCTGAGCAGGTGTAAAATACGGCCCTCGAGCACTTCTGAGCGGGTTTGCAAGTTCCACAGCTCCTCCGGTGGCACTGTCCCTTTCTCTAAGAAGCCACACCATAAATCATTATTGTGGCTTCATTATGAATGAGAGGACTGGCAGCAAAGAGCAGCACTAACCAAGCAGGATGCAGTGGCCAGAGCCCATCAGCTCCTTGGTCCCTGCTCCTGGGACACCCATGAGCCCTCCCCTGGCATCTCCCAGCCAGGCTCTGGCTGCTCCAGAACTAACATGTGCTCGATGAATTTTATTTTAACCTTTCCCAATCCATGTGTTCGTTTCTAGCTTGCATTTTTGTCTACTTCTACTAGATCAGACTGTTATACTCATTTAGTTAAATGGATAAAAACAAGACATTATGCAAATGCCACTTGGCAGAAGAAGAGGTGGGCAATGGTCATGCGGAAACGTACTGATTTTTAACCACGTTGACCAAAAGAGTTAAATGAATGGAGCAAACTGTAAAGGTTAGGCTATTTGTTAAAGCTGAAAGGAGATTCATTCTCGACTCATGGAATCTGGTTTTTTGAAGCATGAACGATGATATTCACCCTTTGCCCTTGGAGCAGAGAATGTGCTTTGTTTAGACCTTTTGCAGCCCTGAGCGTGCTGTTGGCTCTCCTCAGATAACTGTTACTATTAACAATGCACAGATGTATTGGCATTTGCTTTTAGGTAGTCAGGCCAGTTGGAAAGAGTATGAAGGAACTTATTTAAGACATATTCTGGTGTGAGGTAGAAGATGAAAAAAATTCTGGTTTATCTGTGTAGTGAAAGGCAGACTGCAGAGGAAAACAAGCGAAAGCGTATGTAGCGCATGCACAGGTTTTGAAGGCTAACCGCTGGAGACTGCTGAGGTATTTAAAGGGTAAAGATGTATTGGTACCTTCCTTTTGCCTGTTAGATTTCCTGCACAGCCCACTCTGCTTCTCACACTGGTGTCCTACAGGTTCTGCTGCCCTCAGGGCACGAGGACGGTGACAGCTGCTCAGCCAGTGACAAGCCATCCCCTCCTGACTTCTCTGGTAGCCCCAGAGTCCCCGCAGCCCCTCCTGGGAGCGGTGCTGGGCCCTGGGAGTCAGGGAAGGAGGTGTGAAGACATCCACATGCATCAAGGTGCTTCCCCCATGACTTCAGAGCAATTGTTGTCCGGTTGTTCAGTGTTTGCTGTTGCAGGAAGATGCCAGGCAAATCCCCCAATTCCTTCTTTTACCCATGTAAGAACCATTTCAAGCCCTATTTACATCCCCCTCCCTCGCACCGCTTCTTCATTTCTGATGCTGGACCAGTGGAGCCGTACAGCCCATCTTCAGCCAAGAAACGCTCTCTGTTGAAATTCCTCTCACTTGTTTCTCACACCGCAGCACCCCGCCAGCTCCTAACAAAGCTGCACTGTATTGTTGTCTGTCTGATTTCCTGTTGTCAGCTGGGCTGATTTTAATTGGTTTGCATTTTCAGTAGTTTTTCACCTCATCAGGAAGGATAATTAAAATAAACCCATGCCCTCCACGCTCTTCTCCATCCGTCGTAGCAACGCTAGCAGAGCATGTTAATCTGAAGAGCGGGGAAGGCAGTGTTTACTCCCTGTGAACTGTTTGGAGGCTGGTTGTTAAGCATTACATTATTCAAAACATATTAAATTGTCCTGAATGAGGAGGAAACATGTCTCAATCATCAAGCTGATGGACATTAGTGGTCTTCTGCCACAAGTTTGTTAAATTTGAACTAGATTTAGCTACTGCCCACCTCATTCCCATTGTGGAAGGAAAGCTATGGACAGGAAACTGGCAAGGAGTAGGAGGCATAAATTCGAGATGCCCACAGCTTGGGCCAAAAGCCTTATATAAATCCTTCGGATTTCTAGACTTGAGAGAAATACAGTTGGCATTACTGCCTTCTGTTGACTGAGCAGGAAAGTTTAACCAGTAGTTCAGGATATGAATGCTAAAGAGTCTGGAGGTGGCTTTAAGATCTGAGTATGGTTTAAATATTACTGATGAGGAAGAGAGAGAAAGGGAAGCAATGCATTTCTCAACATTTCCAGGTTTACAAAACCTATATGCTGAGCTAGAGGCTGTTAGGATTGGCTTAGTCTCGAAACGAGGAAAACAGGAAAAAATATATATACATGATGTGCAAGCTATCAACAAGCAATTTTTTCAGCTTATTGCTAATATTTCTGTTTGCTATCTTTTAGGAAAATATGAAACTGATTTTTGAAAGTTTGATTCATAAAGGATTTTGTAATTGCCATTTATCCTGCATACAAGCATTTCTATTAGAAACAACTAGAGCTGTCTTGGTCTCCTGTATCATAGACCTGCCATCGCCGCAGTGAAAAGCAGACTCATGCCTCGCTGGGAGATTGTAATAAGGAAATGGTGGTGTTTCCTAGCTTCGAGTTAGCACAAAACCCAATGCTGAGAATTTGTGCGAAGAGGAGAGGCTTTTCTTGCATTTGCTGGCCGTGATGGATGAGCTAGGATTTAACATCCTCCCCCTGGTTCCACAGCAGAGCAGCGTGCAACGGAGAGACCCGCCACAGAGCAGGACCCGCAGGGCTGGGACGGGCACACGCCGTCACTCACTCTGACTGCCGGGCTGCCAATCCGATGGCAATTAGTAGAACAAATGTCTGAGATACGTTTCCCCCTCCCCCATCATTTTATGGTTTGATCATTGTTCAGGGGCCAATGTGTCTCTCCCTCTGAGCTACCTTGACTTTTTTATTTGTTAGGATTAATCAGTTGCACAGTGTTAATTATACCACTAAGCCCAAGTAGCTCATTCCTGTGCCCTTGCCAACATGACTTATCCTTTCCTCCTCTTGTCTCTCCCAGAGGTCAAAAATAGCTGTCTATGAGAAAATGTGGTCGTACATGAAGTCAGCCGAGCCCTCGGTGTTCACCAAAACGACGGCGGACGGGGTGGCGAGGGTGCGGAAGTCGAAGGGGAAGTTTGCCTTCCTGCTGGAGTCGACGATGAACGAGTACATCGAGCAGCGCAAGCCCTGCGACACCATGAAAGTTGGAGGCAACCTGGATTCCAAGGGCTATGGTGTAGCAACCCCCAAAGGCTCAGCATTAAGGTGGGTGGAATAATATAACAATATCCATGTTGTTATAGTATTCCACCTACCCTGATGTATTGTGTTGTCATTTTCTTTCTTGTGGATTTTGAGGTAACTTTAAAGTTTAAAATCTTCAATATTCCATGGAGTTAAATAAGACGGTAAATTATGGTTTCGTTTATTTAATGCATCCATTTTTTTAGTGTTCTCTTCGTGTTGTCCTTTCTGATTGTTTGTTGCTGTTTTAATTTTACAGTTCAATGGCTTTTTCAATTTAAATGGTAAAAGCCGAGTTAACCTGCCATATGTGACGAATGTTAACTGCATGATGTGGTGTTCTTGTTACTTTTTTTCTCAAAGACGATTTCCCCATCCCGCACACTTCAGTTTTGAGCAAATGTTATCCTCCATGCCACCTTCCAATATTTAACCCTGTATTTGCTGTACAGACATTTTGATAGCTCCACGTTCTGTGAAATTTTAGCCAATTTGTCCTCTTGTGCTCCTTTTTTTATACGTTACGATTTCCTAAGCATTTGTGCATTTTTTCTTACAAGTTATGTTTTATCGTTTCAAGAAATGCTGTTAACCTGGCAGTATTAAAACTGAATGAGCAAGGCCTCTTGGACAAATTGAAAAACAAATGGTGGTACGACAAAGGAGAGTGCGGCAGCGGGGGAGGTGACTCCAAGGTCAGCCTCAATGTCACCACAATCGGGTACCTTAGCAAAGAGTAATCGGCAAGGCTGTTATTTTACTTCTCAAGGAAAAAAAAAAAACAAAAAAAACCACCACAGATTAAAACCATTTGAATAATTGTGGTGGGGAAAAAAAAAAAGCCATTTGCTTGCCCCAGTAGCTCTTTCAAAGAAATGATCTTGTTTAATATCATCAGCAGGCTTGGTCAAGCTTGGAAACCTTGTTTAACTAACAGATAGAAAGACCAGTATTGGTGGGACCTAGGCAGAGCAAATCAGTGTTTGTAACTGTACAGGAAACCAGTGATGACATCTGGCTGTTGTGCTAACCCCTGAGGACAAGGCTTTGGTCCTTTTCCATGATTTGATTGTGATGCAGAGTGGATTTTGAAAGGGTTTTTTTCACTAGAGTCAGCTGTGCCAACACACACCTGGAGGTGGGAGGGCTCTTTTCTCCTTTGCTCTTCTGGGGAGGGGTCAAGCAAACTAGTACTAGCACGTGCTGCTTTGCTGGCCTGAACTGGTGCCATTGGAAACCTTGAGAGGAGCCTGGTCTTCGAAGAAGGGCTGCTTGGGTGAGTCTGTAGCTTAAGCAGAGAAAGGATGGCTGCTCATCTGATCGCAAGAGATAAGTCAAGCAATGATCATAGTGAAGACATAAAGTTACACAGAGGTGGTAGTCATCCATTAACAGTAAAGTAACAGCAATGTCAGCAATGTATAGGGAGCTAGAGTTTGCAATAGGAAAAGCTAAAACAGGAGGTGTATTGCTTACAGCAGGGAAGTAAGTGTTTGGTGCACCAAACTGTAATTGAGTCTTAGGGAAAGAGGTTTTGGTAGTTTTGCCTAGAATAATCAGATGTCACCTTTTGTACATGGCTGACCAGTCTCTGCACACACATCTGCAGGAGCACTACGTCTGTATTTGTTGTGCTTTTGAAACAGATGTGGGTTAAAATCCTAGCTCCAGTAACGCCAGTGACAGATCTGTCACTGCCTTCTGCTGAGCTGAGGCTTCTCGCAGACTTTCAGGCTGTACAGTAGTGAGACTCTCAAAGCTGCTTTAATGAGCTTGTGTACTGCAGCAGTAAACCAGTGTACTTTCATATTGCCAAAGTCAGCCTGTAAAACTGGCGATTTCTGCAGTCTTAAACCTGGTGAGAAGCTGGAGCTGGACCAGGCTGGGTACTACTGGTCACCTTGGGTACAGGAATTACAAAAAAAAATTATTTAAAAGACATTGTTATGCTGAAAAGTACTGAGATTAATTTTCATAGTGTCACTTTCCTACAGCTAGTAAAACCAGTTCCTTAAGGAACAGTAACTCCTAATCTCTCTTATAAAAATGCTTCAGCTTTGGTCCAGAATCAATAATAACAGTATTTTCAGTAAACTGCAGTTTTGGACAATTGCTGCAAATTACTGCTGCATTCTATTCATAAGAGTTGCTTACAGTTGGCTATGTAGGAAATTACTCATCTCTGATGTTAGCTAAAGCCACTGCGTAATAATGAAGGAAGGAGAAGCTCTCAAATTCAAATTTGTTCAGTAACTAAAGGCCTGCAGTGCTCAGCAGCAGCCTGGAGATGAGCGTAAGCTTTTTTATGCTTTTTAGCTCTGCTGCTCATCCTTCATGTAACATTTTTATATAATGTTATACTTGCCAGTATATTAAATGTTTAATATTCTCCTGGGATCCAGCACGGCATTGTCTCATGCTGCCTCCATGAAAGAAGACTCTGTACAAACCAGCTTCAATGAACTTCATTGCTTCAAGTTCATTGAATTAAACCCAGCCAACTAATGCTTTACAGCCCTAAGGAAACTGAAAAGGCTTTTTAAAATGGTCATAATTAGGGCAGGGCCATCCTTCTATTTTAGCTTGTGCTGAAGGACCTTTTACAAAGAGCAACAGGTCTGTTAGCAGCCCTTGGCCCTGGTCACTGAACATGAAGGGACTGGAGTCAAGTGTGCCCTGATACCACGGATGGGCATCCAGTAAAGAGGGAAGGGCAGCAAACACAGGAGCATTTTGCCGTTATAATCCATAAATCGCAAAGCACTGCCTTTCCATAGGTTGTCATAACATGCCATGATGAAGGGCTGCTTGTTTGTTTGAGTGACAGATGTCAGTTCTCAGGGGCACAGCTCAGCTGGCAGAAGTCCCCAAGGAGGAGAACGTGACTGGGAAAGGATCTCCCGCAGAAGGCTAAGCTGGGGGAAGCAGAGAAGGGGTTAGTTGTTGTTTCTAGAGATGCTGTAAATTGAAGGGTTTTTTCATCATGAAGTGGCTTGTCTTTTGAGGTAACATTTTGTAGGCACAGAACGCTCCAGACTGCGATGCTGCGGTGTTGCGGCAGACAGGCAGATGCCGTCCCGGCAGCACACACCCCCATCGCCAGCCGCTAACACTGAGTTCATGTGCCCCAGCCCTGCGGGAGCTGCCCTGCTGCCCTCTCGGGGAAGGTGAACACCGGTGCTGCCCTAGGGGTGCTACGGCCCCGACAGTCTCGCTGGCCTCTCTCTCCTCCTCTCCGTCCTCCCACCAGAAGCCTGAGTTGCCCTCATCATCTCATCCCATCTCTCCAGTTAGTTGTTTACATGAATGCAGCTTCATTTATAGAGTGTTTCAGAGGAGTCGCTTCAAAACTGTTCATATTTTCCCTTTAAAGAGGTGGTATCTGGGGGGAATCGAGAGGATGGGGTGGTGAAGGTGGCTCAGGTGGAGATACAGACCTTGCACCCTGTCACACAGGGCAGCACGGGAAGCATTACTCACTTGGGGCAGCTCTCTCTACTGGCTAGGCTGACAGACCACCTCTCTTAGCTTCACCAGTAGAGACCCAGGCTTGGGAAATCGCTGCCCCGAGTTTGTAATCAGCCGCTTTCCTACCTACTGCCAGGGAGCTGTGTGTAGCTGTGAGTTGTTGCAGACCGATGGTGCCAGTTTCTTAAACTGAGTTCCTCTGTGCAATCTGATATTCTAGCTTGCGCTGAAAGCCAGAGGTAAGTATGCAGCCTCTTTGCTTGTGCCAGTGCCCATTGTTGCACCACAAAGGACCCCGTCACCCAGAAAATGCCCCTCCATGCTCATCCTCCCTGGTTTAGTATGTGGTTCCCCTGTGCGTGGAGATGAATGATTCTGAGTTGTGAGCTCACCTCTTGTTATTGTATCTTCATCACCATTGGAAAACTAAACGGTGACTTCAAATTTCACAAAGATTTTGTGTCTCACAGCAGGTAAAAAGAAAAGGTATCAAACTGACTTTCTGCAAGTTTTTAATCTATTTGGTTACACAGACCATAAGGTTAGTCCTTTGAGCATCTCATGCTCCTGGGGTCTGCTTGTAATTTAAGACTAAAGAGATTGTGCTCTTTTAATGAGATCATTTTAAAGGCTTCAGCTGGCATATGTCTCATTTTCAGTGCTACCAGTATGTGCCAGTGCTGGTGTGGAGCAGAGGGTCCCAGTCTGCCCTGCAGTGTCTCGGCTGTCAGTACTGCCCTGGCAAGGGGAGTTACCACGTTTCGGTAGTGATCCTTATTTAAGAAGACCAAAGGGGAACGTGCTCCATCCATACATAATTTGTCAGTGATGCGTGTGAGCTGACTTGGCTGGTGCAGGCATTCTGGTACGTGCATCAAAATTTGTTCACTTAGCTCTCCTAAATGAGCGTGAATTTAGTTTCATCCATTGGATTCATGGCAAAATTATACCATCTTCAGATTCAGATACATGTGAGCTGAGTTCTCAGTCATGAGAGAATGCAAAAGAGCAGTTAAAAAAAAAACATATTCCAGGAAATATGTTATAGTGTATTACAAGTTTGGAAACTAATTATTTTGTTTATTATACAATCCTATCATCTCAGAGCTGAGTGATGGCTGAATAAGGATTTAACAAGAAATAGACAAAAGGGAATGCAGACGGTGGTAGCAGGCTGAGTGACTTAAGTGAAACTAATTATTCAGTTGCATAGGAACAATTTTCTGCCAAGATAGATTTCTGTAGTTCTGCTGTTGATACATTTCTTGTATTCTTACACCTTCACTGTAACGTTTAATGACAACCAACATAGAAGGAGAATGTTTGAATGCAGTGTCTCGCCAACTTCACATGCCAAGATTCCTTGTTAGTTATTTGACTTAATTTCTTTAATATATTCTTTTTTAGGCTGATATTTCTTTTGGAGTACATCTGTGAAATGACATGCAATGCAATGCTACTTCACTTTTCAGTTGTTTCTTTTTAATCGTAGGATTACTTTGTTGGCGTGCTATTGAGTTCTGCACTCCAGGCCATGCTCCAACAAGCATCAC